GGCTGAAAAAGGGCAAAAAGAAGCCACAGCGTAAAATGCAGGAGTAACGGAAGCACTCAAAAACCAGGAAAAACGGAGAAGAGCGAGCTCGTTGATATCGATATGGCCGGCAGAGCAGAGCTGATGGCTGGAGGTCAGCCCGATCGCTGTGGCCGACGCAACAAACAAGTAGGTGTACATGTGAAACTGCCGCTAGGCCGGGAAGCAGCCAACACTCCAATACATGTCAGGGAACACGAAAAAAAAGGGGAGTCCGATTGAAGAGCGCAAAAGACCTGTCCAAAGGAGAGTCCATAGGAAAGGCCAGACCTCCCAATCCATGGAGAGGATGAGGGCCCCGGCCTGTAAGAAATAGAGGGCCACCCAGATGGCGGCCACAAGAGCTTCACAAAAGCCGCCGTACGCTAGGGAGATGACGATGCCCCCCCCGCGCAACAACCGTGCGCCGGTGTCGGAGGCAGTTGTCGATGCCTGCTGTGTCTCCTCGCCATAGAGTTCCCATTTAATAGCAGGTGGGATTAGGGTGGCTTTAGCTACGGTCTCCCCATGACCTCATGGTTTTATTGACTGACGAACCGGCTAGAGGCCGATAATGTTGTAGCTAGCAGAGGCTAAGCTCTCATTGATAGGGTGGGCTAGCAAAGGTGGCAACGAGAGATGGCTTCGGCGATTGAATGGACAGACGAGACTTGGAACCCGGTGACGGGGTGTACACGGATCTCGCCCGGCTGCGACCACTGCTACATGTACGCACTCTACCCGCGCCTCAGGGCATGGGTGTTCCAGGTACGAAACTGCACCCGGTGACGTTCGCCTGCTGCCGGAACGGCTAAACCTCCCCCTGACTTGGCGCAAGCCCAAGCGCGTCTTCGTCAACAGCATGAGCGACCTCTTCCACCCTGATGTGCCCTACTCCTTTATCTCAGAAGTCTTTGAGGTCATGCAGGAAGCATCGACCCAGAGGGGCCATGTGTTCCAAGTGCTGACCAATCGTTCCCAGGGCGGCCGTGGGCGGTGGGAGCAAGATGGTGGCCGTATGGGTTGTTCGATGCCTGGCCTGCCAACGTATGGATTGGGACATCCGTCAAAAGTCACAAGTACGCGCCTCGTCTCACAGTGCTAGGACGCCTTCCCGCTCCCGTGCGCTTCGTATCGGCTGAGCCTCTACTTGAATGCGTTGACCTGTCATCGTGGCTTGAGGATTGCACACTCCATGGTCATCGTGGGGTGGGATAGAGTGGGCGAGGGGCATTCGGACCAGTGCGTTGCGTCTGAGGTAATCTTTCTTCCTCAAGCAGCTTGGTGGAAGCCGCGTTAAGCGGGCCGGTGATGAAGCCGTGCTGGATGGCCTTACTTGGAGACAATACCCGTATGAATTGGATAAGGATGCCCCTAATTTCTAACCATTTGGCCCTTTCAGCAGGCACACAACCCGGGGCAATCATCTGGTACGCTTCAACAATACATGATGCCTGTACCCTTATTGACCAGATGGACGGCCGCGGTTTTATCATAGATGCGTTTGCCGGCCCCTAGAGTATTCGAGGGGCGAGCCTGGCTCACCGATCATCGCACTAAGGGCACTCATTGATCACAAAGCCCTAAGTCAGATGAGCCACATCCATTAACCCTTTTTTCAGAGAGAAAGAGCGAGACGCGTCCAGCACCTGCGTAGTGTGGCTTCCAAGAATACGATGCCACGTTGCCGCCGATCTGTACATACGAAGTCATCAAGTCAACTTTCTGAACGAAACAGTGACGCAGGCGCTTGACCATGTGCAGCAGCAAAATAAAGCACTCGCACCATCCTTTGTTATGAATCGATCCTTTTGGCGTTTCTGACACTCCGATGAACACTATCGCGCGCATCTTATCCAATCCGAATCGGAAGTCTACGTGTCATGTTTGTACGATACATAAACCGGTTTAGAGCACATCCAAATTTTGAACAACCTAAAATGACTTTTTGGCTGTCCATACTTGGCGGCATGATATCGATATGGAAGACTCTCCTGACAGGAAGGATTTCTTTTTCGAATTATACAAGCGTCAACTCAAACTTTCGTGGTCTAAGGCACGTGTTGCCACTTTGAGCTATACGAAGGCCGCAGACAATATAATGCCAGATCTTCTTTGGCACACGTAACTTTATTGGGCTCCGATAAGATGAAACAGGCAATATTGAAGGTTTCTCCTCCATCGGCGACTATCGGTTCTTCGGTAAAGCCGTATCGTGTCAACTTTAACCTTGCCAGTGACCTTCAAAGATTTCTCCCTTTCAAAACGACCTTTACACGGAATTCGCCTCCAAGGGATGGACACGAGTCCAGGATGTCGTTGGGTTTGGCAATGTCCGACCAGACCGATTTTCATTCTGGAAAATTGAAAAGAGATACATTGAAGCCTATGGAAGCTGCCAACCTCATTGAGGTCAAGGCAGAAACCCGCAAGACTAAGACCTCGTTCAATGATGAGGCTGTGCTTCGATTTATCCGTCCGCCGAACGAGCGTACGACGGCCGCCTAGCATATAGACGTCTTCCGCTGGGAGCCATTGCAGTCTAAATCCCGAATAATCCCGGCAATGTGAACACGGTCCACTGGCAATCATCTCCTCGCGCCCGCGTCCTCTCCACCGCTTCGAGGTCCTCTTGGTAGGCCAAGCTCTCCCCTCCGGTAGGTTGGCGCGTCCTGCGCCCACGGGGCCGGCACCACACTCGGTGCGGGCGGGCAGCATCATCGGGTCCCACACCATTGAGCATATCTATGCTCGCGGGTTCCTGGTGTTGCTGACGGAGATACATGAGGCGCTGGGACTGCCTCCCTTTCAGACGTTCCTTCTGGATGGGGTGCGTTCGCTGGCGGCAGGGACCATGGCCATGTCGACCGGGTTTCTGGTAGACATGTTCCAGCACCGGATGGGGCATGTGCTGTGGATGGCCATGGCCATGATGGGGATCGGGTACCTGCTGGTGGGCCTCTCCACAAGCTATCTCATCATCATGATATCCATCATGGTGGCGTCCGGGGGCAGCGCCCTATGGCACCCCCCCGCCATGGCGCTGCTTTCGCTGATGTATCCCACACGTCGTGGCTTGTTCATGGCGCTGCACCGTTCCACGGGGAATATCGGAGAGGCAGTAGCACCCATAATCGTATGGGCGCTGCTGATAGTGCTCAACTGGCAGGGCGTCGTAATGACGGGCGTACCTGTGATCGCGATCATCGCGGTGTTGATTTTCGTTTTCATGCGAAACGTGGGTGGCCCCCTGCCTGACCGGCGTCTGCGCTCCTTCCGCTACAACCTGAGGCGGAAGGGGGTGCCGTTGGCTGGCGTCGTGCGTAGTGGCGGGATGATCAGCCTGATAACAGTAAACGCCGTGCGTGGCGTGGGGGACCGGGCCCTGCTGCTGGGCATCCCCCTCTACCTGAAGGACGAAATCGGCATGGGCACGGGAGGGATAGCGTTCCACGTCGCGCTCTTCACCGCCCTTGCGATCGTTGCGGGTCCCATCCTAGGCTGGTTGTCCGACCGGTTTGGGCGCAAGCCGATGATCGTCTTCGTGATGGCCGCCTCGGTGATCCCGCCGTTGTGGATGGTTGCCGTAGGCGAGGGAATCGGCTTCACAGGGGCTGTGGCGCTGTTCGGAGCTTTCCTGTTCTCGGTCAACTCGCTAACCCAAGCGGCTGCGATGGACTTGGCTGCGGAACACGGGCTGGAAGGCAGCGCAGTGGGCTTGCTGTGGGGGGTGGGGACTTTCGTGGGCTTCGGGGCGTCGCTGATATCAGGCGTGCTAGCCGGATGGAACTGGGACGCCGTGTTCTACTTCGGCGCCGGCAGCTTTGCGGTGGGCACGGTCGTAGCCTTGGTTGCTCCGAACACGGGTGCTAGGCCACGAGGCGCCCCCCATCGCAGCCCGCGCGAGCTAGCCGGCGGGCTGGGCTTCTTCTTCGGCCTCTACTGGCACCGGGATCAAGTCCGACAGCCACTTCAGGATGACATCGCTGGTCTCGTCCATCTTGCCTTTGTAGAAGTGGTTGGCCCCCTCGATGATTCTGGCTTCCCGCTGAGGGCTGTTGACCGCAGCCTCAGCCAGATGCGGGGCTACGTCGCGCAGGTGGGCGCGACGCTCGCGACTTCCGCCCAAGGCCAGCAGAGGCACATGCAGGTCCTCGGCCAAGGCCATGACGTCGAACTTCTCCTTGGGGCCCATCTTGCCGATGAAGTTGGCGGCGCTGAAGATGTGGTCTACGGGGAACTTCACATCCATCAGTGTGCCGGGGCGGCGGTCCTTGATGAGCGCATCGGCCTGCTCGTAGTATTCCAAGAACTCCTCGCTGGATTCGGACTCCGCAAGGAAGCTGTAGGAGAGCCGGGGGGACGATAGGGACACCAAAGCTACGACGCGGGGGTCGGCTGCCTTGCACTGGTAGTAGATGCTCTTGACCCCTCCCAAGCTGTGCCCGACTAGGGCGACACGGGAGTAGCCCTGCTTTTCCAGCCAGCCGAGGCAGGCCTTGAGGTCGGTCCGACACCAGTCCACGTCCTCGACGGTGGCGCCATACTGGCGCACGGGGCAGCTGGGTCAACCACGCCAACAGCACATGTCCGATTCGGGGTTTCTGGCCCACAGGGCGTCGTGGCCAGTGTTGTCGAAGCAGGCCACACCGTAGCCACCCTCATTGAGGCGCTGAGCCAACTCCATCAGCATGGGCTGATAGAAGTTGCCGCCCACGCCATGAATCAGCAGCACGGCATCGGCAGCGCGGCTGGGGTCGGGTTGAGTTGGCGGCTCCAACCACACGCCGCCTAGGCGGAAATGGTCGGTGGTAGTGGTGTGGACCAGATCTACTTCCATGAAAGTCTCCCCGTTCTTCGCAGACTCTTACGTCTAGGACCCGGTAGTGGGCTGCAGTTCAGCTTGCGCCTCCAGACCGGTCAGCCATTCGATGATCAGGTCGGCCGCTTCCTCGAAACGGCCAGCGTGCGTATGGTCGGCCTTGTCCACCTCCGCCCAGTGAGCCGACGGGCTGTTGACCGCCGCCTCGACGACCTCGCGGGCGAACCCGGTAAGCCGCGGGTGGACCTCTCGCTCGCCGCTCAAGCTGAGCAGGGGAACGGCTATCCTGTCGGCCAAGCGGGTGATGTTGTAGCGCTCGTCCGGGTTGTACATGTCCAAGTAGGTCTCAGCACTGAAGATATTGTTGATGGGAAAGCGCACATGCACAAGGTCTTGCGGTTTCCCTTCATCTAGGAGTTTCTTGAACGATTGGTAGGTGTTCAAGAATTCTTCGGCTTGGTCGCAGGCGGCGAAGTAGGAGTGGGACAACGCACCGGAGAGGCCGAGATGACGGCAGTGACGCGGGGGTCCGGCTCGACGGCCGCGTAGTAAGCAACCTTCACCGCGCCCATGCTACGCCCCAAGAGCCCAATTCGCGTGTGCCCCCGCTCTCCAGCCAATCGATGGCTGCACGGAGGTCATGGCGGCACCGGTCGATGATTTCGAAGGCATTACCTTGGGGAGTGCCGGACTCGCCCACCCAGACCGAGTCGTGGCCTGCGGTGTTTATGGAAAGGCAGGCATAGCCGTGCTCCTGGAGCTTTTCGGCGAAGTGGAGCAGGATGGGTTGGGCGAAGCGGCCTCCCGAGCCGTGAATCAAGACCCAGGCATCGGCAGGGCTGTTGCCGGCAGCTGGGGCGGTTGGCTTGAAGTAAGCCCCATCCAGCCGGATACCGTCGCTGCTGACGGTGTGCATCAACTCCGCCTTCATCTACACCTCAATAAACGTCCCAATCCGTTGGGCGCGTGGGCATTGTACGGCGACAGAGGTGGGGGCTGCAACGCTCAAGTACGCGGCAAGTACGCGTAACGGGGCAAGGCCTGCACGGAAAACGCCTTGACACTAGAAAAACTGGTTCAATATAGTCGAAGTAACTTCAACTTCATCTCAACACCAACTTCCGGCATGAGAGTTATAGGGGAGGATGCATGGCGGCGCAGGATTACGACGTTGCGATTGTTGGCGGGGGCCCTGCGGGGCTCACAGCCGGCATCTATTGTTCTAGGTACGGCCTGAGAACAGTGATCATCGAGAAGATGATGGGCGGGGCTCAGGTGATTAACACGGAGCGCATCGAGAATTACCCTGGGCTGCCAAACGGCATCCCTGGGGCGGAGTTCGGCCCCATGTTGCAGGACCACGCGATGAAGGCAGGGGCCTCGGTCAAGCTGGCAGAAGCCAGCCGGGTGGGCCTGTCAGGAGACCACCGCACGGTATCCACAGACGACGGCGACATCCTAGCCAAGGCGGTCATCATCGCCGCTGGCTCCAGCTTGCGAAAGTTGGGCATCCCAGGCGAAGACGGCTACACCGGCAATGGCGTCTCCCATTGCGCCACCTGTGACGGACCACTGTTCTCCGGAACCGTTGTGGGAGTCGTCGGTGGCGGAGACACCGCTGCAGACGAGGCCTTGACGCTGACCAAGTACGTCGAGCGCGTGATACTGTTCCACCGCCGTGACCGCCTGCGGGCACAGCAGGTGCTGCAGGACCGCGTCCGCACCAACACAAAGATTGAGACGGTGTGGAACACCGAGGTACGCCAGATAGTCGGCACCAATACCGTCACCAGTGTGCAGGTACGCAACGTGGTCACACGGCTGGACAACGAGGTGGACTTGGCGGGGCTGTTCATCTACATAGGGCTGGAACCCAACTCCGCCATGGTGCGCGAGGTAGTACGGGTGGACAGGGCAGGGCACATTGAGGTGGACGCGTGGATGCAGACATCGCGTCAAGGCATCTTTGCCGCTGGTGACATCCGTCAGGGGTCGGCGGCCCAGCTCATAACCTCTGCGGGGGACGGAGCTACGGCTGCCATCGCCGCCCATCGGTATATCGCTGGGGTACAATGGGCCCGTCGCTAGCCGGGCTTAGTACCGGAAGCGCCTGAAACAAGCCGTATCGGGAGGTACGTGATGGCAGCCGAGCCTCAAACCTTGGACCGAGTTTTCGATCTGATTATGCGGAGCCTGGTGGACACCGGCGTGGCGTTGCACTACACCGAGCTTGCCCGCGAGATGGGCTGCAGTGCAGAGGATGGTCGCACCCTGCTCTACGACTTGTGCGCCACCGACTTCCCTGCTTGGCTGCACCCAGACACAGATTGGATTGCCTCTTTCCCGCCCTTCTCCAACATCCCCACTCCCCACAAGATCACCATCGACGGGGAACAGAAATGGTTCGCACAATGAGGGTTTGAGTCGCTGGCAGTTTGCTGGCTCTTCCCTGGCAAGACCATTCACATCGAGACCCCCTGCCTAGACTGCAACGAGACAATCGTCATTGAGCATCGGGACGGCGAGGTTCTGTCCGCCAACCCGGCAACCATCGTCGGGCACACCAACACCCCTTGGGCCACACGCCACCAACACTGGGCCCTCGCTTGAGGGCAGATGCTCCTCTTCCGGTCGGAAGAGCACGCACACAACTGGGCCCACTTCAACCCTGAGTCAGCGAATGGCACCATGCCACTAGCCGACTGGGTGCAGATGTTCAGCGTGGAAAGCATGAAGCACATGCTGGACGGGGACTATATCTCCCGATGGCAGCCGCTTCGGGCTGGTGAACGCAACGAGGTGATGGACAGCTTGGGGCGCCACGGCCCCTTCTGGAGGAGAGGCGTCTAGCTGACCCTAATAATTGCCCACCAGAGCCGGGTGGCAGTAGGACCTAGCCGTCGCCCAGCAGCTTCAGCAGCAGGGCCATGCGCACGAACAGGCCGTTCTCCGCCTGCCGGTAGCCCGCCCAGCGAGCATCGGCATTGTCCGTGATTAGAGGTTCGGTGCGCTGCATCGGGTCGAGTATCACGCAACGGGGCTTCAGCAACCCCAAAAGTTCTTGGTCTATCTTCACCTTGACTAGGTTGCGCGCTCTAAGCAGTTGCATATGGGCTGCTGTCTCGGCGCCGTTCAGGTAGACGGCATCCAGCTGGTCGGCAAAGGGCATCAGCGTTTGTTCCACCCGGATGGTCATCCCAGCGGCTTGGCAGTACTCCAGCACGTCGGGATCGGGCTGGCCGGTGAAGGGGCAAAGCACTGCCTGAACGTCGCGGTACATGGCTAGGGCCATGAGCAGAGCATTAACGTTACGGTGGTCCACCCGACCCACGACAGCGACCGAAAGCCCATCTGCGCCGCCCAACTCCCTGTTGAGGGTGTACATGTCCAGTAGGGCTTGGGTCGGGTGGTCGGCGTCGCTACCGCCATTGATTACGGAGACAATGTCGGCTTGCGCTGCAGCCTCCGCGGCGTTGGGCTGGCTGCTGCGCAGCACCACGCCATCGAAGTGCAGGTGCCCTAGGAATTTGATGGTGTCCTCGATGTATGAGGTGGACTGCACGGGGAAGAACTGGGAGGCGTCTTCGGTGAATTGGACATGGCCGCCCAACAGAGACATCGCCCGCTCGAAGGACGTTCGGGTGAGGAAGCTGGGCTCGTAGAAAAGGCAATAGAGGGCGCGCCCTGCCAGAGCGAGGTCTCTGCTACGCTGTTCCCGCAGCCTGTCAGCCAAGGGGAACAGCTCGTCCTCCATCCATGCTCGGTCAATCTGTTTGGTGTTAATCAGGTGTGAAGGCATAGGGGTTTCCGGTAGGCGAGTATAGCCGTTGCCTTGCTGAAGCAACAAGGGGCAGCAGGGGGCAACAAGACGATGGGGCGGCCGTGCGTGCTAGAATGTGGCTCAATTTCCCCAATGTTTCTCTTATAAATGTATCGCGAGGTAAGGCTATGCGCATCTGCTCGTTCCTCCCCCAGCGCCACCGAGATCGTGTACGGGCTGGGCTTGCAAGACTCCCTGTACGGCGTGACCTATGAATGCGACCATCCGACCCCAGCACGCAGCAAGCCAGTGGTGGTGCACAGCATCTTCGAGAACGCCAGCTTTAGCAGTCCCGAAGTCGACCGCATCATCAGCGAGAGGATGGCGGAGGGCAAAGGCATCTACGACATCGACCAAGAGGTGCTGAGTCAAGCGGAGCCTGACCTGCTGCTGACCCAAGAGCTGTGCGAAGAGTGAGCGATCACGGCGCGACAGGTTGTCGCGGCAACGGAACAGCTTCCCAAGAAGCCTGAAGTCCTTTCCTTGGACCCCAAGTCGTTGGAGGACGTGCTGGAGAACATCCGACAGGTTGGGGCCGCCACCGGCACGACGGACCAAGCCGAGCAGATGTCCCAGCGCCTCCAGAGTCGAATCGACGCGGTAGGGGCCCGGGCAGGCTTGGCCGTCCACCGCCCCAAGGTCGCCTGCCTCGAATGGCTCGACCCCATATTCTTTGCGGGCCATTGGGTGCCACAGATGGTGGACTTGGCTGGTGGCATGGACTGCTTGGCAACGCCCGAAGAACCATCCCGACGCGTGGAGTGGGACGAGGTCCTGAAGCAGCAGCCGGAAGTCGTGGTCATACTGCCCTGCGGCTTCGAAGTGCCCCAAGCGCTGCGAGAGCTACACCTGTTGACCCAGCGGGAGGGCTGGGAGAGCCTGCCTGCTGTGCGCGACAACCGGGTGTTCGTGACCAATGCCAGCGCCTACTACAGCCGCTCAGGCCCGCGTCTGGTGGATGGGCTGGAGATGCTGGCAGAAATCATCCATCCGGAGCTGTTCACCGGGATGGTGCCTCTGGACGGCGCCCTACGGGTGCAGGGGGAAGTGTTCAAGGTCAGTTGAGGGACGTCCCGCGTTCCTCAGGTGCGCACACCCAGGTCAAGAGCATACGACACGCCTCTGGAGCCCGCCTGATGGGCCCATGCTAGTTGTTTCCAAGACTCTTTTCTTCCTATTTAGGACTCTCGTTTCAGGAAGCCTTTCTTCCTCAACCTCTCATACACTTCCCTATTGTGAGCGTGGTATTCGTCCATCGCTCGCTGCTTTGTAGGACTCCATTGCCTCTGGGGGCAGCCGGATATCCCAGTGGGCGAAGTAGTCGGTGAAGGCTTTCTCGATGTTCTCCATTGGGGGCCTCCTAGGAATGGTCTGAACAACTCCATCTATACCGGCTTTCGCCGGTATCCGAAAGGGTCTCCGACCAGCACGACTGCTTGTGCAAGCAACCCCATGACATCCGCGCGTTGACCCCGGCCGCCCTTCCCACCTATCCTCCGCATAGGGACCCCCAACCGAATCTTGTCGTATCCCAGCCCCGGGCCCTAAATCCAAATGTCACAGGCATCAGCTACGAAAACGCAACAAATCGTGAATCGTGTGTCAGTCCCTTGACTACAGCAAAGCTGACACGTAGCTGCGCCGGTCCAAATCCCGGTGCAATAATGTACACACAGTTGACAACGGATATAGCACTAGAAGTAGACGAGAGATGCAAACAAATAGCACTGTAACACCACAAATGTGACAAAATGGGAACCCGAACCCCCAAGGCCCGCAGATGTCGGTTGTCATGCCAAGACCTCCGGCAAAGAGGCAAGGGACTTGAGCAGAGTTTCCCTAGAGATATTTGCACCTTGGGAGGCACGAAGAACGAAGCTTTTTCTGTTGTAGTACAGGTATTGGGTCCATCCGACTGCACTGGAAACTGAACGATGCTCCAGTGTGCGCCCCTCCGTGGGGCCTAACGGGGATGGTGGGGCCCCTCCCAAGAAGACCCCCTCAGTTAAGGCGGAAGCCTTGGAAGGGGGTGCGACGCACCAGCGCCTGCCGGGCCTTGTCGGCTCGGTTGCGCAGCAGGGGCATCACCTCTTCCAGTCTCTGCTGCACTGAGTCGGCTTCGAGCAACTGCTGGCGGGTGTGAGGGGAGAGTTCAAGGAAGTGGGAGATTGTGTAGGAGAGGGCGAGGGCGTCTTCGGGCACCCGGGCACGGCTCATCCATCGGCCCCTAAGCCCAGCGACGCTCTGTAGGTAGCTGGCGAAAAGCTCGCTTGCTTCCCGCACAGTCTCTTCCAACGGCTGGCCCTGCTCTTCAGCTATATACTTGTACTCTGCCCTTGAGGTACGGCGACTGCTGGGTGATCTCCGCAATGCGAAAGCGCCGTTTTCCCTCGGTCATCAGGTTCATCCGCCCGCCGTCCAAGCGTTCCACTTGGGCTATGCGGGCAGTGGTGCCCACGGTGTAGGGTTCAGCGGGGCCGCCTACCTCGGGGCCTTCTTTAATCAACACAATGCCGAAGGGGATATCGTGCTCCAAGCACTCCCCAATCATCTGCTGGTACCGCTCTTCGAAAATGTGGAGGGGCAAGGGCATGCCGGGAAACAGCACCACATTTAGTGGGAAGAGGGGAAGCACATCCTGTCTGTCGTTCTCTTGGGTCACGAGTGCGAGTATATTATCTGGGCGGCCGCGGGACAAGTCGCAGGCCGCCTAATCGTTCCAAACATCCCCGTACCGGGTGCCCGGCGGGAGCATTACAAGGGAGGGCGCAATGAAGTTTGGCATGCTCGTGATGAACCAGTACCTGCCGGGCGAGTCCATGGTGGTCAAGCTGAAGGAGGGCATCGAGCAGGTGGCGGCCTGTCGCGATGCAGGGTTCGACCTCATCACCCTTGGGCAGCACTACTTGGCAGCCCCCTATCAGATGCCCACCAGCCTCCCCTTTCTGGGCCGGATGACCGCCGTGTCCGGAGATATGCAGGTGGCGGCCTCGGTGATTCTGGTGCCCCTGCACAACCCGGTGGAGATGGCCGAGTCGGTAGCAACGCTGGACGCCCTATGCGACGGGCGATTCATCTTTGGCGTCGGGCTGGGATATCGCGAGGAGGAGTACGCCGCCTTTGGCGTCCGACGGCAGGAGCGGGTGGACCGCTTTCTGGAGGCCTTAGAGGTGATGCGCCTGCTGTGGACGGAAGATGAGGTGGAGTTCCAAGGACGTTTCTATCAGGTACCGAAGACGCAGCCGGTGACTCGCCCCGTGCAGAAGCCCTACCCACCCATCTGGGTGGCAGCCAACCACGACACTGCCATTCAGCGGGCCGCCCGCTTGGGGTACTGCTGGCTCATCAACCCGCATGCCACCATGTCCATGGTGCGGGAGCAACTGGTGGGATACAAGCAGGCGTTGGGAACAGGCGTTGGGAGCCAGGACCTTCCGCTGATGCGCGAGTTATCCATACACCAAGACCGGGAACAAGCCCTAAGCCTGAGCCAGCCCTACCTGGAGGGCAAGTACCAAGCATATGCCGGTTGGGGTCAGGACAAAGCACTGCCGGGCGAGGAGAGCTTCCGCGTTCCCTTCGCCGACCTAGCCCGCGACCGCTTCTTGATCGGCGACCCCGAGGACGTGGTGTCGGAGATACAGCGCTACGAGGCCGACCTTGGCATCACCCACATGATATTCCGTCTCCAGTGGCCTGGCATGGCCCACTCCGAGGCCATGCGCCAAATTCAGCTCATGGGGCGGGAAGTCATCCCGCACTTCCGGTAGAGGGTAAGCCAATCCGGCGGGGGAAGTTAAGGAGGTCTATTCAGCAGGGCCGTGCCTTGTAAACTGGCGTGAGGGCTAATATCATACGTGGGCAATGGCAGAGAGCCGGGCACAATACGAGCTAGGTGGCGTGGCCACCATCCGGCCTGAGGCCATGGGCCAACCGGGACAGCGGACCTTCCGCCTTCTCATCGAGTCCGGGGCCGCCTCCGTCTGCCTATGGCTGGAAAAAGAGCAACTCTACCAGTTGGGCGTTTACTTGGACGAAGCTACTGAGTCCGAGGAGCCTGCTTCCGGACAAGAGGCATCGGAGTCGCAGTGGTCCGGGGGAGCAACTAGTCTCGACTTCAAAATTGGCAAGATGTCGCTGGCTCACAGCCCGGCCAGCAACTCCTTCCTTCTCATTGCCCACGATGTGAACGACCCGGAAGACAGCGAGGCTAAGGTCAGCTTTTGGGTGGACTACAGGCAAGCCAAAGAGTTGGCCCGAGAGGCTCTGCGGGTATGCGCTGCCGGCCGTCCGACATGCGCTCTGTGCGGACGACCCATGGACCCTGAGGGACACAACTGCCCGCGGTCCAACGGTCACGCTGGCCACTTGGAGTTTTAGGCGGCCCCGCGCCAACAGGACCTCGAGTGACGACTCCTGATACGGAAACCCTCCGTCTTCTTCAGCAGGGAGAGATCACCATCGAGGGGCTTACCCGGGCTGGCTCCAACTATACCTTTGCCGTCAACGTGGCCCGCGACAGCCAGCAGTGCATGGCCATCTACAAGCCACGCAAGGGTGAGGCTCCTCTGTGGGACTTCCCCAGTGGCACTCTATACAAGCGGGAGTATGCCGCCTACCTGCTGTGCCGCATCTTGGGCTGGGACATCGTTCCCCTGACCATCATCCGAGACGGTCCCCACGGCATTGGCTCGCTACAGCTGTTCATCGACCACGATCCTCATGACAACTATTACACCATCAAGGAGCGTCACTCGGAACAGTTGAAGGTCATCTGCTGCTTCGACCTGCTGGCGAATAACGCCGACCGCAAACCGGGTCATTGCATCCTAGGTGAGGACGACAAGGTGTGGAGCATCGACCACGGCCTGACCTTCAGCGCCGACATGAAGGTGCGCACCGTCATCTGGGACTTCGGCGACGAGCCGATTCCCGACGAGTTAATGGATGGTGTGGAGTGGCTTCAGGGCCAACTGCCGAATTCCAAGGGCAGGCTGAAGGAACTGCTGGGACTACTGGCGCAGGACGAGGTCAACGCGTTGGCGCAGCGGTGCAGTTGGCTGCTGGGGAACCGGACCTACCCCGGCTTGTACCGGCCACGCCGACGCGGTTAGCGCCCTAGACTAGACCACGTCCAAAGCGTCGGCGTAGAAACCTCGCATGGAGCGGGCCATCTGCTCGCAGACGGACCGCTACGAGGTGATGCACGGTGCCTTCAGGGTAGGCGCCATCTGGCAGGCGCTCTCGGCGGGCATTCGTCATCAACAAAGCAGAAAACCTTATAGACGATCGTTTAACACTTTACTGAAGACAGTTACTTCAATCCACCCATACTTTACAGTAGCTCTCACTATAGGGCAGGCAAGTGGTACAGCATAATATATGGCAGGCGTCCACATGAAACCTGCAGCCAATGCGGGTTCAGGCCACCCAGAAAGCGTACACGTGATGGTATTTCCATTACCACCCGTACTCCCTCCCTGTAGCTGCGGACCTGGACACAGATGGGTGAGAGGTGGGCGGTGTCTCCAGCCAGCCATCTTCCTCAGAGCTGGCACCACAAACAGGTAGAAGCTTACCACTGAAGACACTGGGTTACCTGGAACCACACACACACACAGTATTTGGCACCATTCACCTCCCATCATAAAGCACTACTAAAAAGGCTCCAAGGCACTCACCTGGAAGAGCAAACACTAGGTTTGTGTTTCCACCTCTGTTGACGGTAGCAAAGGTTGTTGGTTTCCTGCATCAGAGGTGTGTGGTGTATATAGGTACAAATGAATTGCGTCTGTAAATTCATATGCAGCACACTTTATGTAAGATTTTGCGACCTCCAAACTCGTATGTGCAAACTGGTGCTTCGTAATAATATGAGTACACACACGGCCTCTGGTAATTTCAGAGGAGCAAAGTGAGCCTACCTAGTAGTCTGTGCAATTTTTCTAACTATAATCGGGCGCTGTCCTCAATATGGTGATGCTGTGATTCTTAATACGTGAAAATTTCACACTCACTTTCACTCGCCCAAAATGTGTACAGTACATATATAGTATACCCTGGCTTCATGAGGACTCTTCCAAAATGTATGGTGGCATTAAAATGTTCCTCCAACACTGGCTTCAGCAGGTCCTGTAGTACATACATCATCACAATAATTATAATTATTCAGACAGTCTGATGAACAGAGAGCAGTAGAGAGACGTACTTTCTCTCCCATTGACACTCCGCCAGACGTGATGAGAACATCAACTTCATCAAGGGCCTTCTCAAGACAACTCACCAAAGACTCACGACTAATAGATAAACAGGAAAAACACCATACATTATATGTAATTCTGAGGGCCAAATGTTTCTAGACAAGTTACGTGTGCGAATTACAGGCACCATTGCACTCACTATAATAATAGCTACGTACAACTTTTGTAGCACGATGCGTGGGCGCGTCAAAGCAACCAACTATACAACAAATGTGGACAGTAGGAAAATAAAACAAAAATTGAGCTTCAAAAACAACACACTATAATAATTATGGTGTCAGACATGTTGTACCGGTGTGCAGAGAACAAAAACAACCAACGGTTTTTTCCACATTTTGGTGCTAATACTACAAGCGTGTCTCCACCTACTCATCAGAGGCAATGCCGAGATCGAGGGGCGGGATTCCTTGTTCCCTGGTGGCCCCCATGAGAGTGGTTCTGTTGCTGTCGTAGATCTGGCCGGGTACGCGAGGCCGGCCGGGCTCCACCACCTCATTCCCTGTCGACAGGACACCCACTCTTGGTCTCCGGTGGGCCTTCACCTGCACAGCAGTGCACACAACAACTCTCTCTGCTAGAGCATACTTTAGTGGGAAACATAGGAGGGAGGAACTCAGTCATATTCACACACAGCCTTTCTTTAAAGCAGTCCACACTTTGCTTTCTTTAACCTACCCTACTAGACTCCTAGTACCATTTAAAGGAATGTGAGGGTGAAGGACATTTGTACAGTATAATTATAGTGGTTTATGAAAGATTAGTGTGAGACTATTTCAACTGTTTCTCGTGGAAACGGGAGCATTAGTAAATATCCCTACTGTAGTGATGCCGACAGCGGCCAGTATTCCGAGTTCAGCTGGACCAAGTCTGTCTCCGGCTGCCAACACCTTCTCGCCACTCCCTATATCAGACCCAACTGGCCTGCATGCCACACACACACAGGTTCAGAGGGTTAATACGGAGGAAGGGAGGGTATGGCTGGACAATACCTCACCTCACGTCATGCCCTGGCTTCACTGTAGACAGAATCCTTACTCTCTTCTCTTCAGTCCCCTGATAATGTGGTAGAATAATGGGAATGAATCCTCAAGCACAAAATTTCACGTGTTAGCAAAATATTGGAAGTGCCCTCTCTCTCGCACCCTGTTTCTCTCCTTTTCTCTATCTTTGCTCACATCTTCACTTGTCTCCAGGAGTTCCGTGTCTTCCACCTGGACCACCGCGTCAGCTCCGGGAGGGAGGGGCGCTCCTGTCGTTATACGACACACCCCGCCCGACGACACCTCCACACTCGGCTGTCGTCACGAGGAGAGGATCAGAGACAGAGTTTTCACTGAGTCAGCCCTTGGTGTGATTAGTCTACCTTCTCTCCAGCGGTCACTGGACCCAGAACTGTTCTCTCACCTGGCCCGTCAGCAGCTACATATTCAACCAACCACCCACCAATCATCAACATACTTATCATGCTCTTACATGCTATCATTATGTACATAACACATTGTAATGTCACCACAACCATGCTCATTCTTTTGCTCCCTTGCACATTTGAACAAGGCAAGATCAATCCCCACCAAAAGGATGCATGCAAAGAAGAAAGAACATTTGTTAAGCGCTCCTGAGGTTACAAGGACTAGGTGTATAAAAAAAGAATTTTTTAAAAATGTGCTACTGAAAGTGTCCGGTGCAGAGAAAATGAGTGTGCTGTATATACCTATGACAGCGTATCCATCTTTCACAGAGGCAGGGAAGGGTGGGTGGGGCTCGTGGGCGACCACATCCTCAGCTATTACGGCTCCCAGGGCCTCTGCACAGTATCACACACAGCACATCAACGTACCTATCCCCGCACGTCACATGATTGTTGATCCAACCATGCTTTCTACTTTTCTATCTCGGACAGGCGTGTAATAGAAAGGAACAACCATGCTTTTCTCATATCTTCCTGGGTTCAAAGGGGCTTTAGCTAACTCTTGCTCCCACGCTCCCCCACATACAATCCCTAGGAACAAGTTATTGTCTTTTGGGCCAGCTAAATACCTAAAGCTGATTCAGAGGAGGGAAATACAGCTTCCTTCTGTCTGTCCATTCTATTAAAGAAAAATATGCCTGTCTGAGGAGACTAGGTAACAAGTCTACTAAGTCTTTTCTGTCCATAGGAACGGAAACAAGTATGTACCAGTGAGGCTGGAGAGGGAGGTGGGAGGAAGGAGAGGGGCCTGCTGCAAGACCGTCTCCAGGGCCTGGGTCACTGGTACCAGGGGGTAGGGAGAGGTCCGCGGACGAGACGCAACACTCCCGTAGAAATCTGCCTTTGCTGGAAATTTAACAGTGGAACATTCACCCAGTAGGTGTGGTGAGTGGCACAAACATACTTCTCTTCTTTGGAGAGGTGTCCTGGTTAGTGGTAGCCTGATGGTGATGGTGCCCGTGAGGACATACGTGAGGTCCCCCGCTAATGTTTCCCCTGCTGTTCTCCTGCATCTGACTGTGGGTGAGTGAGACCTGGGGGCTCCCGGACAATAGCTCTATGACCACGAAAAGAAGGCCAACACAACTACATAGGTCTGATCTTGTATTATACCTAGAGCATGTGGCAGTGCAGGCAAAACAAATTCGAAACATTCCTGTGCAGAGAGAGAACTTGTTTGAAATGAGATGAGTGTGTCGTATTGCTTGCTATACACCTTTGAACCTTTAGTGCTGCCTGGCAGGTTGATTATGAGACTTGAGTGCCTGATTCCACACACCAGTCTGCAGAGGCATTTCAATATCAAATGACACTAGAACGGGACTTTCGACGGAGGAACATTGCGTAAAACATTATGGAAGGTGAAATTTGTATTGAGGAAGCAGCAATCTGCAAAATTACGAAAACAAAAGTTTCCCACTATAATTATTATGTTGGCGGTACTGTAGAGGTGGTCTGTGTGTTTATATACATACCTTGAGAGCATTGCAAGTGGTGTAATTGCCAGTGACCCTGTGATCATTGCTATCGCCAGACCTGGAGCCTCCTTGGTCAGTACTTCACGAGTTGCCTGGATGGATATTCGTATACACACCATAGATCTTAGCACACGGGAAAAATTATATGCACACCTCTGGAGTGACATCCCTGCTGGCAAATCCAGTACCACCAGAGGTAAGAATAAGACCCAGTTTCAGGTCGTCGCTCCATTTCTTCAATATCTCCTGCATTGGTCTCAACTTACCACAAATGGACAGTGGTGCAAGACATAATATTACCTGTATATCCTGCACATTGTCTGGTACACAGGCTGTCTCGACATGTTCTTCTGCTATACTCAGTCTGCAGAATCACAACACATGACACATACTGCGGAGCATATAGCACGTATTATACCGTCGGCATAGCAGGCTCTTCAACTGAGGTCCACTCTTATCCTGGGCCTCTCCTCTGTGGCGACTGTCACTGACTGCGGGGGAGCGGTGCAGCCAATAAACCTGGCTACTCGTGCCGTTCAGTGGACCTCCCCTGGACCCCAAATACCTGTCAGTACTCCGGCTCTCATCTCTTCCCCGTTATCTTTTTTATGTACAAAGGCCGTTATGCGCACGCGCAAACGGCCGGCTTACGTGTACGCAAGCAACATAATTATTATGGATGATATCACTCCCGTCCTTCCCCTCATTCACCATCCATTCTGTAAACCAGATGTTGACCAATGCACGCACACCAAAGCACAGTTCGGCGAGTTTCCAGGCGTTGTTCGAATGCCTATGCTTTATTGACACTTTCGTAACACAATAATAGATGTGAACTCAAACTTTGACACGACACTACAGTTCAAGACTATTAATTGATAGATATCTGGTTCTTCCTGTCACTGCGTTGGCCATAGTACACCTAGTGTCTCGGGTGAAGGTACTCTGGGGAAGAAAACAAGCCAGTTGAAACAAGGATGAATGGATGTCTGGTACGATGTGTATCTATGGCACTCATCCAAAAAGATGTCAGCGACTTACGTGATTTTGCCTTTGCCTCTTCTGAAGAGATGAGAAATACGTAATATACACAATGAACACGACAATGACTACTCACCTGAAATGGGTATCTTGGAGATGAGCCAGCCAGTGATGGCAAACCCTATAATCAGCTCCCTGAGTGGTCTGAGGAATGGCACGGTGTTCCTGACGCTGGTCACGGCTGACGCGAGAAGACCCATCCCGAAGTACTGGAGAAAAACAATGGTGAAACTCTAATTGGTGCTCACCAAAGGGGAAAACTTCAGCTTGAGACAGGAGGACGGGTATATACCTTTGTCCGGCTACTAAACTGACCTTTCAGTTATCCCTACACACTATAAAGGGCGCACAACAACTGGACACACGACCGTAGTAGGTTCCTGGTGTGTTGTTTGGTCCGCGTTTGATCTTGGGTCGGTGGGTGTGGTTGCGGCAGAGGGCGGGGCTGCCGCCGATGACACCGCTGAGTGAGTGAGGGGGGTGGATCGAGAAGTTTTTGTCGCAGATCGGACTTTAGGCGCCATGTCACTCGTATCCACCTGGTCTAACCTGGACAGTGCAGCCTTTCTCACTCCATTCATCCTCTGTTGTTCTCCGTTCCTGCTTCTCTACTCTCTATACCGACTCCTTCGCGTCCCCAACAGAGTCGAGAAGCGCATTCGTCGATTCTCGCAGGCCGTCGCTTCTCACCCGGTCATCAGCCACCGCGGAGGCTACCCTGAGAACACGCTCTCCGGCATCAGACTCGCCAAGAAGAAGGGCTACAGGGCCGTGGAGGTGGACCTGGAGTTCACCAAAGACGGCTACCCCGTCCTTCTGCACGACCCGAGCGTTAACAGAACCAGCGATGGCACGGGAAACCTTAGAGACCTGACATTCGCTCAGGCCCGCCAGCTCGACTTTGGGATAAAGTTTGGGTAACTGTAGTATATACAGTTAGTAAACGTGGATTACTGTGCTGTGTGTGTGTGTGTGTGTGTGTGTGTGTGCAGGGCCCAGTATGCTGGAGAAAGGATTCCCACTCTGCAAGAGGCAGTTGCTCTATGCAAGGAGCTGGACCTCATGCTCATTCTTGACATAAAGAGCAACCGAAGACGGGTAACAAAAAGTACAATCACAGTTGTATTTTGTCGGACCATACCCTAGCTAGCACAAAAGAACTTTGTAGGATTAGGACTTTTTGTAATGCTATGCAACTCTCAGTATTGACACTGTCCTGACAGTCGGCCAGGTTGTTGCGTGAGATGTGCGATCAAGACCCACAGCTGTGTGACTACCTGGGAGTCATTTCCTTCTACCCCGACCTTCTCTATCTGGTGAGACACACCTATAGAACTCACTGACATTGACCTGCTGTGTGTTATGTAGTCAAGCAACCATTAACTGTACGATAATATACATACGGTGTATCGAAGAGCTATTGTCTATTTTTTGCCCTGCACCCTCATAGTTTAAAAATTATTAACCCCAGGGGGAAAAGACATTCAGCAAATTTAGCTAGTCGTATTAGCATCACTAAAATTTCATTGTCAGTGGGGTTCATGCAAACCGGATTTTCATGTTCCATTTGTGTGGTGGTTGTGTGTTTGTGCAGGTGGCAAGGACGAACCCTGAGCTGGTGTGTGCAGCTGCCATGAAGGACTGGGAGTTTACGTGGAACATGGACGGCTCTACGAGACACGACCACTGGTGGAGACAGGCTCTGGCTCCCTTCTTTGACATCGCCGTCTCCATTGTCAACCACTACGTCCTCTGGAGACTGATAGAGCTGCCGTTTGTGGGGCTCTACAAGAAGGAGATCGATGAGTAAGACTCTGCTACTAATCCTCTTCTCTCTCTCTTGTTTTCATGCCAGTGGAGTTTTATTCTGTCAATCTCCCTAGTAGTAACAAATAAAACTGCACTTTCTTCACAAAGTCCCAAATTCATTCTCTTCTTTTGTTTTTCTTTTTACAAACTTCCCAGTTCTGCATTAAATGTGCACTCTTTCCCTATATGTGACTATATACTGTGCTGTGTGTGACTGCAGTGACAAACTGGAGTTCTGGAGGAAGAGAGGGTCAGAGGTCATTGTGTGGTCAATGGGAGAGGAAGAAGCTCACGAGTTCCAGAAAACGGTCAAACTGCCTGTGATTGTAGACATTTCACCACTGGACCAGTAGCTCACTGACACGACGTCATGTTGGCAATAGAAAACTGTATGCAAGATGGTATATAGCTGGTGGTCTGTATGATGTAATCTCCACTATTACTGGCCGTGCAGGGTGCAATGCAATTTGTATACTTCACACGAGTGTGTACGTATTGTGGACAAACATTATAAGGGGAAGCCTTCTTCTGCATGGGCACCCCTCACTATAGGTGCACCCAGACGATCACACACAAGTTAAAAAGTAGTAGGAAACTGTGTACAATGCATTATATACAATGCTAGTAGAACTGTCTATAGGTGGGTGTCTGCAATAGAGATTCGTCTAAGTTCCAAGTGTTCTGAGGTGGTCGGCTTGCGAGGGCTCTCGGGGAAGAACGGAGTTGTGTCATCATCGTCTTCATCTGGCATGTTCTGGGTCTTGAGCATGAACATGAGGTCGTCTAGCTGGGAGTCGTCTCCCTCAAGACTCGGGTCCTCGCTGGGGACAGGTCGTAGAGACAGCGGGATTGGAGGGGCACCCTCGCCACTGCTGACGGTGCTTCCACTGCTGTCGTCGTCACTGTTGGAGGACCCCTCTTTGCTCTGTGGGTGGTGGTCCTCCTGCCACCCTCCCTCCTCATCTTCCCTCCTCTGTGAGAGAGAACGGTGCAGGGTAGAGCTAATGAGACAGTGGTTTGTGTGCTGTGTGATCACCAAAACCATACAGCAAAAAATTATTGAAAAAGGTCTGCAGCATGTGAAATTCTGAGAAAATTGGTTGTGAGTTTGCTCATTCCTGAAAATTGCTGATATTCTGTGCCATTCAAACCACACCTCCAATTAGCAAATCAAACTTTTATCACAACTTAAGCAGTATCAGCAGCCTGGAGTGCGGCTCACCATGATGTTGAGTTGTCTGGTGGAGCTAGTGAGACTGTGCATGGAGCAGTAGTCATGGCGCTCTTGTCCGGGACGGCAGTATTGGCTCCACCTCGTCATCGATCCCGTACTTCTTGTGTTTCCTGGTCAGAGTGTGCCAGCTGAGGAACACGTACACTACCAGAGTGTACAGCCCCTGCATTATGAGCCAGAAATTAGATCAGAATAACATAGGAAAAGTTGCACTGCATAGCATTAATGTAAGATTTAATGAGGTTGTTAGTAAGTTCTCTGTGTGTGGCGTGCTATCGTCGTAGCTAGATACCTGGAAGAACTCGAGTGTGACGAAGATGCCAAAGGTGTAGACTTCCCTCACGTAGAGGTGAACATAGGCACCCACACCAGACAGGAACACCATCGCAAAGAACATCAGCAGCAGCGGAATCTCTGTCGGTAGGAAGAAACAGTCACAAGAACACTCTAGTCCTATTCTTCTCAACCAGTGACACCCTGCTAAATATGCAAGTGCGTAATTTCAATGAGTAGTTAGCTGCGAGTGTTAAGTCCCAAACTTGCTAAATGGTGAGCTCAAAACCAAGACATTACATCATACTACAGTATTACGAATGCATGGATACTATGATTATGTGAGACCTGTCTTGTTGAAGGAGTCGAGGTACATGTTGTGGAAGTCCTCCCAGCGAGACCAGTAGACGCAGGAGTGCGAGAGGAAGGCAATGGTGGCTAGCATAGCCAGCACCACTGGCAGCAGAGTTGATACCAGGGACACTGAGAACTCTGGTGTGTAGCAGCTTGAAGAACGAGAGGAAAAAGATTGAAAGAACTTATGATGATACTTATCAACTTTAATCATAGCACCAACAAAGAACCAGTTTGGCCTTTAGGGCCTTCTATATCAGGTGATAGAAGTGGACCGAGCTAGGAAGCCTATGTTTTTTGCTATCTCCTGATTATTATTGAGGCATTGAGAGATGCTACTTTCCTGTTGGTTCACTACAGTCTCCAGCGGACCATACACATCTGAAATTCCAGACCATTGAGACAAAAAA